CCTCATTTTTCATGGTTGTTTTCTCAATCTTCTTGATACTTTTTTCTAGGTCAGATGTTTTGTCTTCTACGTTAGAGATTCGATCTTCTGCCTGGTCTAACCTACTTTTAATACTTTCAAGGGAGGTTTTGATTTCCTGTATCACATTCTTCAATCCTAGAAGTTCCATCTGGTTCTTGTTTAAGGTATCCATTTCTTCTTTCAAGTCATTAAAGGACTTCCTCATCTCCTGGAGCTCCTTGTCTCTTTTCTCTTCCATCTCAGTTAGTTTGGTCACTACAAATATTCTGAATTCCTTACCAGACATATCCACGATGTCCATTGTATTGACTGTGGGTGATGTAGGCTTGATGATTTTCCCTTGAGGGAGAGACCTTTTGTTGGTTGCTCATATTTCTTGAGCCTCTGCGATTGTTCCTAGTCATCAGGTAATCTATATGTTGCTTCCTAACTTATTTAAGGTAACTCTGAGTGTTAAAACTTGTATAGGATTAGAAATTTGATGATTTCTATTATGATTGACCTATCTGTTGCTCACAATTACCATTAACTGTTGCAACTAATCCTAGATGGCCCTCCCTGTTTCTAAGGAGTGGTGAGCCTCCAACTGACCTAATAAGCAACACCTCAAGAGCAAAGAAAAACGAAAAAAGAAAATCGCGTGGCGTGCAAAGCATGCCGCATGCTATTCAAATCGCCAAAGTTCAGAGAGTTCAAAAGCTAGTAGGAAAGGGCCAGAGGATGAGTGACAGGACCAGGTTGGTCGGGCCTGCAGCCTCAGTCCATCTGGTGTCCGGAACTACTGGCCAACTCGATCCGGTTTGCAGGTGGGGTGGTGTGGTGTGGGAGTTCATCTTAAAGTCCAAGACAACCAACCTGGGGTCCAAGGAGGAACGGTGGGGATCTCAAGTTTACTTCTGACATAAAAATTCCAGCTGTATTTGGAGTAGTGTGACAACCTAAATATTGAAACTTTTCTTTTAAGAGAGGTTTGGCTAGAGGGTGCACACACTAAGCATCAAAACTTCATGATCAGAAACTTGATGGTCAAAAGTTTGAAGAGTCCAAATCTCAGCTCCTCCCAGGGTACTCTCCATGACTGGGGAAAAGCTATTTAATGTCTTTGCTCCTGCTTTCATTGACTGTAAAACTTCAGCTGCTTTGTTTTTAAATAAGATTATAATGTTTTTTCTTCCAAAAGCATTATAAGGCATTTTTTAAAAAAATTTGATATAGGGCATACACACTCACAAGAGTGAGAGACAGAGAGAGAGAAAGTGAGAAATTACCCCCTGGGAAAGGATGGCATCACTGTAATCCCTTTTCCTCCAATGTCCTATCAAGATTCTAGGCACACTCAAACATGTTTCCAGCATGATTTTCAAGCCGTTGAGTCCAGACTCAAACCTTGCAGTCATTACTGTGGGACCTAGTGGCCTTAACCTCCATACCACCTGCTGGCCTTAAGATTTTAAATAGAAGGGATTAACACAACCCCGAAATGTATGCACAGACACACACACACACACACACACACACACACACACGCCCCACAAGCTTTCTATTTGTCCTGACAAATAAATAATGTGTGACATGTAACTGACATTTATTATTTGTTGGAATAAACTAAATCCATGCAAATGTAAATAAACAAATGAATGAGTGCTTCATAAAGGAATTTGGTACTTAATACAAACTCCTTCCCAATATTTATGGATTATCCAAGGAATTTGACACTGAAGCTGTCATAGGCACCCAGTAGTATAAGACAACACTCCAGTGAGAGCTGACATTCTTTTTGTCCTTTCAGCATATTCCTTCCCCCTTTCTCCTATCCCCCGTCCTTTGGGAAGACTGCCCACATCCGTTGCATTGTATTCTGAACCTCAGTAGTCACGGGCGTGTCATTCACTCAGACAAGGAAATTCAATTTTACTCCTAGCTGAAGGTCACGGAAACCAAAGCAGCTGAGGCCGAATCACCTGGTGGCAGAGCCCTGAGACCACATCTCAGCCTCTTATACCTAAGATCCCTGGAGCGTCCCTGATATTTGCCTTTCCAGAGATAGCTTTTCATCAATTTCCTTAACTGTCTGAGTTACTGTTGTCTGTACTTTGTCAATACTACTGGTAATATGTGATAAAATAATGTAGAGTTTATTCATAAAACAACACACCCATATGAAAAAGTATAAAAGGGATTTTATAAATTTGTGCACTATATGTGTCAATGGAATTTTTCAAAATTATAGACACTCTGATGAATATTAGTAAAAATTACTTAATCAGGTGCTCACTCTCTCTCTTTCTCCTGCACTTCTCTCTCAGGTTCAGTTATTTGAAGTACTTAATTGCTCCCTTGCTCATAAGGTCCTTGGCTTGGGGGATTAACACCCAAAGGAAGACCAAGGTTATTTAAAACCTCCTATGTTTGGAGAGTCTAGCAGTTCCTGGAGTCACGCGGGAATAGACTGTAAGGAAACTGAAGCACATTTAGATTTGAGATATTTTATCTAACAGTGACTGTAAAGGAGGATTCAGGCCATCTTTTTGCAGACAAAAGGCTGATGGGGAGTTAGACAGGCAGTCTTCCTTGCTTCTGGTGTGGAAGGTAAGAAAACACCACACAGACACCCTGGCCAGTCATGCTCCCTGTTTGCAGTGTAAGTGCTCAAATTTTGTCCTTCACTTTTTATCTTGGTCTTTCACTCTCCCACTCCTTCCACAACCTCCAGGGGAAAATAGATGACAGCGAGATAGATATATAGACAATAGATAGATAATTCATAGAGGGTCAGGTGATGGAGTCCATGAATCCATCTATAATTTAAAGATCTCAGTGTTTTAGAGTGGATTAAATAAGTGGAAATATGTGTCAGAAATTTTCAAAATTAAAAAAATGTCTTATTATCTGTAACCCAGGTTTTCTACACCACAAATTAAGGTGTTGTTTAACTCAGACCTAGTTATAAAATTGTACCCTTTGGACTGAAATAGGAGCTGCCGGTTTCTCAAGTATACTAAATACAGATGCCTTCATGGATAAATACAGTATTGTATTTTTATGTTCATCAAGAAACATCTAAGATCCTTTTGTCTGGATTCCAATGGTTGACTCTCATACCCAAGGAGACAATGTGAGGAAACGCTGTATCTTTATGTGGCTGACATGATCATAAATGTCTTTTTGGGTTTAATATAACCAAGTTGTCTCAGATGAATATAAGAAATTTGAATGAGACCTTGTTGTTTATAAAGACATAGAGTTTATATTTGTCCCTTTATACTCACAAAATCACACTTGGAATTGATGTGCTGTATCAGTGAATGTGAAGAATGATCAATAGGAGGTGATCCTGTGAGGCACATTGGTGAAGTTGCCCTGGGCAGTGTCTGCAGTCAGGTTGCATTGCAGAGGAGCTCAGAACAGGGTGGACAGGCAGAGCACGGCAGCTCTATCAGGGAGCACCTCTGTAAATACTTAGATCTTTGGCTGCTTCTCCATTTTATTTACCTAAACACAGCTAATGTATGCACAGGTAAACTTAACTACTCATTTCTTTTCCCAGACACTCAAGAGATAATTTTTTCATAAAAATGAGAAATTGCACAATGGTGACTGAATTCATCCTGCGGGGGATCCCTGAGTCAGAGGGCCTAGAGACAACACTTTTATTAGTGTTCTTGTCAATATATTTGTGCACCCTGTTGGGAAATGTGCTCATCCTCACGGTGATCCTCTCCTCCTCACGGCTTCACACTCCCATGTATTTTTTCTTGGGAAACCTCTCCATCTTTGACCTTGCTTTTTCTTCAACGACTGCTCCCAAGATGCTGTTGAACCTTTCAGGGCAGAGTCAAAGGATCTCATTCCAGGGTTGTGCTCTCCAGCTCTTCTTCTACCATTTCCTGGGCTGCACAGAGTGCTTCCTGTACACGGTAATGGCCTTGGACCGCTATGTAGCCATTTGTCACCCCCTGAGGTACACAGTCATCATGAATATCAGGGTCTGCTCCATCTTGGCCACAGGCACCTGGGTGGGTGGACTCGTAAGAGTCAAAGGATCTCATTCCAGGGTTGTGCTCTCCAGCTCTTCTTCTACCATTTCCTGGGCTGCACAGAGTGCTTCCTGTACACGGTAATGGCCTTGGACCGCTATGTAGCCATTTGTCACCCCCTGAGGTACACAGTCATCATGAATATCAGGGTCTGCTCCATCTTGGCCACAGGCACCTGGGTGGGTGGACTCGTACATGCTGTTATGCTCACCTCCCTCACCTTCCAGTTACCCTACTGTGGGTCTAACGAGGTGGACTATTACTTCTGTGATGTGCCTGCTGTGTTACCTCTAGCCTGTGAGGACACATCTGTAGCCCAGAGGGTAGGTTTTACAAACGTTGGTCTTTTGGCTTTTACATGCTTATTCCTCATCTTTGTTTCCTACATTTGCATCGGGGTCTCCATATCAAAGATCCGCTCAGCAGAGGGCAGGCATCGGGCTTTCTCAACCTGCAGTGCCCACCTCGCTGCAATTCTTTGTGCTTATGGACCAGTGATCATCATCTACCTACAGCAAAATCCCAGCCCCTTATTCGGTGCCACAATTCAGATCTTCAATAATCTTGTAACCCCCATGTTGAACCCCCTCATCTACAGCCTGAGGAATCAGGATGTAAAGTCTGCCTTGAGGCATATATTTGCCAAGAGAAGCTTTGCTGTTGAAAATAAATGAAAAAAAAATCTAAAGCTTTGTAGAACAATTATTTTCCATTTCTTCATTTTTTTTCCTAATAAGACCAAGGAAGAGACAGTTATTTTGAGATGGTCTCACCAAGTCCTGATTTTTCTGCCCCAGTCTCCTGGTTAGCCAGCTGTACAGGCAAGGCCATCACACCAGGCCTATTCGGGTTTGCTTCAGAGTCAAACCTGGTCCTCCCATGTGCCCAGGCCTCATGCAGCAGTGCCCTATTCCTTCTGCCACTCCTACAGGGTCTTGTTCTCCATTTATGATGACAAATTCTCTTCTGCAGCTTCCATGGCATGTGGAAATGAAATTATTTTGAATCAACCTACCACTTAACTGTTAAAAAAAATAGTGTTAAAAGAAAGTTTCTGGTTTTACAATTCCCTATGCTTTATATGACATATAATGGATGCAGTCACTTAGCAGACAGTGCACTGACTCTTACACTGTGTGGATTGTTTCCCAGCAACAGTTTCCCCTGAAACATGTCTAGTTCTTTAAATATTTGAAAGAGTTACTAGAACACACTTGCTTCCTCATCATTTCAGTCCCAGAGACTTTTAATCTTGCAGAATAGAAACTGCACCATTAAACAAAGTCCCATTCTCCCCCCAGATCCCTAGTCCCGGGCAACCAGAATTCTATTTCTTGTTTTTCTGTGAATGTGGCTCTTTAAGATACAGCATATAAGTAGATTTCTACAATGTTCGTATTTTTCCCACTGGCTTAATTATCATAATGTCCTCAAGTCTCAACCATGCTATGACAGCTATCAGAATTTCCTTTTTATATCTGAATAATATTCCGTTGTGTGTATTGTGTGTATTGACCAAACTTAGTTTTTCCTTTAGAGCTATAGACGTGTGAGCTGCTTTCACTATTTCAATTCCTTTTTTTTTTAAAAGAGATTTTTTGGTATAGAGTATGTGCACTTGACAGAGGGACAGAGAGAAATCACCCCCCGGTGAGGAGGATGGCAACACAGCAATCCTTTTTCCTCCATTCTACACTCAAGATCTTGAGCATGCATGCACATGCACCCAGCGTGAGTTTTAAGCCACCTGGTCTGGGGCTTGAACCATGGCCAACTATGTAGGAGTCCAGTGATGCAACAACTATGCCATCTGCTGGTCACTATTTCAATTGTTTTAGATACATTTACCCAGAAATTAAATTTCTGGATCAAATGGTAATTCCATTTATAGATTTTTGTGTACCATAGTATAATTTTCCATGTGGACTACCCACTTTAGATTCCGCTAATATTGCCAAATGTTTCTGATTTGTTTGGGAAAATCTGGAAAAATGGTATATGGGTGTGTATACATGGGACTTTGAGTCAAGTGTTGTGTTAAGTCCTATTAGACATTGGAAAGATTTGAATCCTTTTGCCAATGCCAAACAGTCATCACAGCCCTGGCTGAGAGATGGAATAAAGTGTTCACTCAGATTTTGACTTTTAGAGGTCTTTAATTTTACTTAAATATGATTATATATTTAAAATAGGGCATGTGATGGTTCTGTATTCCCGTTATTTTACTCATCGTCCTTTTTTTGAGTTAACAGAGGGCGTGTGCTCACCAGAGAGAAACTGTGACAGAGAGAGGGAGAAAGCACCCTCCAGTGGAGTGTTTTGGGATTGCTCTTTTTCCTTTCTGTTTTTTGCTATAGGAAACATGTACTTGCCAGGGAGAGAGAGAAAAAGTGAGAAAGAGAGAGAGAGAGAGAGAGAGAGAGAGAGAGAGAGAGAGAGAGAGAGAGAGAGATTAGCTTTTCAGGGATAATGGCCACACTACCCTCCCTTCTTCATCTTCTCTCTGGATCTTGGGCACACTGGCCCAGCATTGTTTCCCAGCTGCTGCTCCAGGACTGGAGCCATGCAGTTGGCCATGTGGGATCCAATGCTTAACCTCAATGCCACCTTCTGGTCCTTTGTTTGCCCTTTTAATTTATTAATTAATTTATTTTTAAATTTGGCAGAGGGTTCATGTTCTTGCTGGAGAGAGACAGAGAGAGGAAAACAAGAAAGCACGCCCTCATGGGGCATGGTCACGCTGTAATGCACACATATTCAGTGTGAGGATTTCTTCACTGGAAGGAAAGTATTGGCTTTTGGTTTTTTTTTTTTTTTTTTTTTTTTTTTTTTTTTTTTTTTGGAGAGGTTTTTGCTTTAGGGCACATGCGCTGGCCAGACAGACAGAGAGACAGAGAGACAGAAAGTGAGAAATCACCCCCCAGGGCGGATGGCCATGCCACAATCCCTTCTCCTCCGTTCTCCTCTTGGGATCTTGGGCACGCACGCACACGCGCCTGGCGTGATTTTCAAGCCACCAGGTCTGGGATGTGAACTGCGGTCGAGTTTAGCAACATAGACATTATGCTAACTGCTGCATCCAACCATATTAACACCAGGTCATGAGCTGGTCTTAATTAATTTTTTAACAATATATTTTTAAGTGCATCTTCCAAAAGTATGAATTTGTGAAAGATTGGACATTTTTTAAAAAAATGTCACTTATTACTAGTGTCGACGTCTGCTGACCAGCAAGTGACATCTGGGTAACATCTCTCTGAAAGGTAATACTGTCAGCATCTGCTCTCAGGGCTTAGTCCTGTGTAGGAGAGAATTAAAGAAATGAAGAAAAGAAAAACACAGAAGCAGAGATGCAGGTGAACACAGACAAGCTGTGCTACTGAGTCATGCTGAGCTTCTTTAGTTATGCATTTTACCAGGCACAGTGAACTGTTTGCAAGCACTCAAGGATGTGGTTGAAGTTCTAAAGTTAGAGATAAGAACTTTAGTGTAGGCATTTTTCTACCTTCTTACTATCATGTGTGATCCTATTAAGCATCATAGGTCAAGCCAGATTACTTATGCTGGTCCTCTGCAGCTCCAAGGAAGGCTGTCTGAGTATGCACCAAAGAGGATAATATGTAAGTCATAAACATTATATAGAACAGGAATAGCATGACCTAGCCAGGGTCAGGATGTTTCCCGTGTTCCACAGATGATTCCACAGAACGCCTGGCATATAAGGCATGTGTCAGCCAGCTCAAGCGAGTAATTAACAAGGCATGCAGATAACTGCCATTCATACTGCCAGGCTGCATATCCTCACATATCTCCCTTTCTTGTTTTAAAAGCCAATGTGACCCTCTCCTGTCTAGGAGGAATGGGCCAACACAGTGATAGGCATAAGGACACCACATGAATACAACAAGTGGTTAATAGAACAATCAATAGAAATATAGCGCCAAAGAAAAATTGTTTACAGCAGTAGATGGTGGAAGGCCAGGAACAGGTATATCACGATACAACAAAGTATCATAGAGTTTACAGTAAGTTTTGTACACATGGTAAGAAACAGATTTTCAAGGGTCAGTTCCTTGTTCATCTCTGTCAGCATTTTTGGGTGTCACTGAACAAGGCCTTGATGTCTCCAAGTCCTGATGTTAGCTTCAGTCGGCCTCTTCTGTCTCTTACTCTCAGCATCTGATTCCAGCTCATAGTGTGCAGGTCATACGCACCAAGAGGGGATCCAAACCGGACCTGTAAGCACAGAGTAAGCACAGAGAGAAACCTTCTTCCCCAGGTTATTAGAGGAGCTGGATCTTGTCAGGTTGGATCTGGTGGCATTTTAAAAAAACACTTGCTTGGGGACGTTTTTATGTTGTTAAGTAGTACTCCATTGATGTAATTTTGAATCAAAAGTCAGATTTAGATGATTCAACTTAAATATGGTCAAAGAAAGCAATTTGGCAGAATGAGTTGGGGGGGCTAGATTCACCCTTTTTTGTTTTAAAAGTATGGAGACGATTAGGTTTATTAAGATCACCATGGGATCTCTTCTGCTTTTAAGTTTTAAGCATGCCTGTCTTTTAGAGGTCCTCATAACTGACTAACTACTAGGGAGCCCTTTATGGACACACTTAAAGAAACATCCTCTTGGGCAATCAAATCAATGCCAGCACTTCCAACTGTAGCATGAATGGAGTCATAAATTTCTGGGCCAGTTGTTTGTTTGGAGCTCTCATCTGTTACTGGGTTGGATTGGGATGAGAGTGAGACTTCCCTGGGTCTTAAGCTGGAGGTGTGCCTGGTATCACGTTTTCTGGACACATCAGTGGAAGAGTGGCACTGGTTAGTTCAGTAAAAGCCTTTATCATAGCATTTACATTTGGAGAGAGGCTTCCTTAATTTTCCCTTACAATCCTTGATAATATATCTTTTAAATTTAATGTTCATGGCCTTAAATGGAGGAGGAGGAGGAAGAGAAGGTGCCAAAAGAGTCAGTAGAAGGTGTAAGAGGTGCAGACACAGGAACTGATGAATAAAAAGTAGCTGAGGGACTAGGAGTTAGCCCTTTCCTTTCTTGGGACAGTTTTCTTTCTGACATTAATGTGGGAGGAGTTCCACACAGAAATATAGCATGGGAACAGCAGTTAATATAATGGCTATGTCGCTGAACTCCCATGTAGTCTACCATGGTTCAAGTCCTAGACCCAATGGCCTGAACTCATGCAGGGTGCATGTGCGTGAGTGTCCAGGATCCCAATAGAAGAATGGAGGAGAAGGGACTGCAGCATGGCCATTCCCCCTGGGGAGGTGATTTCTCGCTTTCTGTCTTTCTGTCTCTGTCTGTCTTTCTGGTGAGCACACATGCCCTATAGCAAAAACCTCTCCCCCCCCAAAAAAAAAAAAAAAAATAAAAATAAATATAGCATTATGACATAAATGCCAGACAAGGAGGATTTTGATAGGAGTGTGAGGTTCTGTATGCAAACAAATATCAATTTTGTCCCAATCTTCAATTTGAAGGGAACGCTTTTCATGGTACCAAAGCCATGATAAGTCAATTTCTTGTAACATTTTAGATGTAGTTCTAGAGGAAACAAAATGTTGCTTGTGCTAGCAAAAACAAAAACAAAAATAAAAACAGAAACAAAACAAGAAACAAAGTTAATTTCTATGAGCTATTCCCTTGGGA